GTGTGTGTGTGTGTGTGTGTGTGTGTGTGTGTGTGTACCTGTGCCCAGGTATGTGTGTGTGTGGTAGCAGTGGGATCACAGTGTTGCTCAGACATTCACAGAGAGGACACAGAAATTCTCCATTTTCTACGTCGTAGCTGGTGTGACCTCGAAGACGCTGCTGACGTCTCTGCTCCTTCACCTGCACGGCCTCAAAGTACCTGAACACGCACACGCACACGCACACACACACACACACACACACACACACACACACACACACACACACACACACGTGTGTTTTGGTTAGAAATGTTTTGACTCTATTCGTCTGGAAATAATAGAAACCACCATAATTTTCTGTGTATGATAACACAGTGACGTACCTCTGCCAGCAGGTGGCATGCATGATGTGTCCACAGCTGGCTGTATGAATCCCCAGTGACAGGTCAGGGTGCATGAACAGGGGGTCATGTCGCTCTGAAAACATCCATCAATCAGTTAACCATGAACTCTGATTGGCTGCTTCCCTGATGATGTTACAGTGAGGCTCACCTGGGTCGGGCAGGATGCGACGGCGGTTTTTGGACAGTACAGTTGACCTCTGGATGAATGCAGCGAGCACCATGGCTCTGCCGTGACCTCTGACCTCCTGCTCCTCCTGACACAGGATACAGGTGACCAGCTGCCGTTGCTCTGCTCCACCCGCCCTCCTGGGACCAACACACACCTGAGAAACACAGGTGTGCTCCAAACTGGGGGCACTCGGAGGGGGGGGGACATTTGAATGTTCTGTTTCCCGTCAGAAAAACTTCAAAGACATTTCTGCAGCAACAGATGTTCAAAGGTGTACATACAAGTATACACAAATGTATACAAATATATATAGTATATACAGTACATATACTATGTGTACATGTGTATATACAGGGATACACAGGTATATAGAAAAGTGAACAAGTATAAGTCCGTCCTGTACTTCATTAGATAAACATTGAGACAAACACACTCACAGGCTCCACCCCCATGAAAGAGAAGAAACCTTCAGGTCTGCTTCTTCTCTCTGATTGGTCACTGTCTGTCTCACTGTTTCCCTGATGAAGTACAGGACATGTGTGCGATTCCTCTTCTCTCACCTGCATGTGATTTTTCATTTGCCTTTTCCTGTTATTTTACACAGGTATTTCAGAGTGTATACAGGTACATACAGGTGTACACAGGTGTACCTGCTGTCGGCAGCACTGACAGTCGACGCCTCCAGCTCCTCCAGACTTTGTTGGAAAAGTTCTTTGTTCTCATTGATAAAGTGTTTCTGCATCTCGGACATCTGAGCCATGATCTTCTCTCTGCGGAGACGAGCCATCTCCGCCTTCCTCTTCCTCTCTGCCTTGTCTCTGTCTCTCAGCGTCTGCGGGACACGACAGGTGTGTTGAGGTGTGTTGACCTGCTGCTGCAGCTCAGCATTACTCAGGTGTTGTGGTGCTTTACCTCCTCCGCTCTGTGTCCAGGACATGTGCTGACTGTGGATGTGGACACCGTTCGTTCTCTCATTGTTTTAATGTTTGACACCGTCTGGACACAAAACCAGGAACAACACGTGAATGTCTTTAAAACAGAGACCTGAGGCCTCACTCATAACCGTTACTAACGCATCTTTCAGACGCCACTTCTCACGCAAACATTGAGATCCATCAAATCAAACAGACGGGAGAATGTTCACATTTGTACTCAAACTTTAACCCATGCGTACGAACATTTGGAGACAGGAAAATGGCGACGCAGACGTGAGGAGGTGAATTTTTGCTTTTTTTGCATACGCCATTTTTAGTATATTTTTATTAAAAATAATTAAACAATTCAAAGTATAAGTGTACGTGTGTACGGAAAATGGCGTACACAAAAAAGATTCTGATTCATAAAACTGCACAAGCACACCTCTCCCTTTACACGCCCACATTCAACCATAAATGGTCAATGCAAATCACCTCATGAATATTAAATGATCTACACAGAAAGGTAATGCTGTGATACTGTGGTACTGTGATACCAGAGTTCATGGTACCACAGCCTGGTTATTGATGAGTCTGGTTTAGGGTTGTTCGGTTTACCGGTACTAATAATGGCAGCTGCTGCAACCATCACCACGCCGCAACTCGTGCGCAAAGTGCGGCATGGAATTACTTCATCTTGAAAACAAATGAGCACGGTGAAGCCATGAACACTGATGCACCTCTGTGCAAACGGTGTTACAAACATGTGGCCAAGGGTGGAAACACTTCCAACTTGACCAAACACTTGGAGGAAAAGTAGCCAGACCTGCACAAGGAGTTCAGAGAACGACAGGTAACAACTTATATACCCATGAAAAAAAAAGCCAAAGTCAGCGCTGAAAGCAAGCGACGCCAGCCGCCTTCACTCTCCACAAGAGTAGCGCTGGAAAAAATGTAAGCCTGTCTTTGTGTTTTTTTATTTTAATTACTGATGCATAATGTTATAGTTCTAAGATTTTCTATTAAAATAAAGTCAATAATGACATTTTTTTGTGTTCTCTTTTTATTTGGAAAAGTACCGAAATACATGTTGGTACCGGTACCGATACCAAAATGTTGGTACCGTGACAACACTAGTCTGGTTACTGATCAGTCTGGTGATCAGGTTATTGATCTGATTGAACCGAACCTTTAGGACGATGTTTACCTTGACGATCCAGGTAATCATGTCTTTGTGAACCTCAAGGTGAGGAGCGTTCTGAAGAGTCTCCAACAAGGCCAGGACACTTCCTGTTGGACTAGGAGCTTCACCTGGACCTGCACACACAGTAGTAGTATGTGTTACTGTGGTGTTCAATTGTGTATTGTATTGATGTGTGATGTTGGATTGTCGTGAACTGACGTGAGATCTTGCAGGTGTAGTTGAAGGTGACCTCATCATCTCCTTTGTTGTTTTCCAGCTGCTGCTGCTCCTCCAGTAGAGCCATGGCCACCAGGTGGAGCACCTGTACTCACACACAGTACTTAGTACTTAAATGGTAATCTAAACATCATGTGCACCCCCCCCCCACACACACACACACACAGACTCTCTCTTACCCTCTGTAGCATTGACTCGGTCCAGCCCCCCCCGCTGGGCTCCACAGCCCACTGCAGCACAGCGCCCTCTACAGCCAATAAGATGTCACACTGCAGGATATTAACAAGACTCGCAAAGAGAGGACAAAGAGGGGGGGGGAGAGGGGGAGGCAGGGCTGCACCACACACAGAGAGAGAGAGAGAGAGAGAGAGAGAGAGAGAGA